TTGCTTTCTTTGTGTCCTTCACTATATTTTGTCTGCTCTGAGTGCTGGGATAACCAGAGTGTCCCTGCCTACCACAGTGCTTCATTTGTCTACCACACTACCTTCTTTTCTTCCTCAAATCTTGCTGAAGGACAGGTTAGGGCCTATGAATTAAGCAGCAGATTGAAGATTGCTAGATTCTCAGGCATCCTCATTAAATGGAAAGTGTTTCCCCTCCCCATATAAATTACTATGAAGATGGTCCATGACTCAAGATGCATTGAGACATAATCTACCTTTTTAACACACTGTCATTTTATGTTGCTTTTTAAAAATGTTAACACCTTTCAAAGTAAAAAAAATAAAATAAAATTGTGCATACATAATCTCCTAAATTCTCTGCTTATGTAAAGTTGGGGAAGGAATGTTAAAGATTTTAAGCAAGTTTTATCTAATTAAAAACTAGGACTTAATTACTTCTTTCCTGAAAGATGAGCCTCTGGCTGATAATTTTACGAGGATGGTATGCCTTGAGCAAAACACAGAAAATAGTCTTCTACCCAAACTTAAGAAAAAAGAAGTTTCATCATATAGATTGTTACGAGTTTTGCACATGGGTTGTATTTATAAAAAATCTTTGCTGTCTAGTATAGGCAGGCAATCAAAACGGAAATCAGAGAAAGTAGCAGCTGAATTAAGAAAACATCCACGTGTAAATTCTTGCTTCTACATTCTGAGATCTATTTCATATTCAACCACTTTATTAACCAAGACATTCCCCTCCACCCCATTCCTTTCCTTTTGTACCCCCAGCAATTTAAGGAGATTCTTTCTGTGGATTATCTAATAGCAGGGAAGGTATTCATGCACCATTATCACTTCTCCTGTCACATGAGATATATTATACAGGGTTTCAGGCAGAATATTTTGTCTTGGATATAGAAATGAATTACCTATCTATTCTGTGAATGAGGTGACAAGTTAAACCAGAAACACAGCAGCAAAGACTCATGAAGCTTCCAGACTGGATTCAGCTTAGAATTAAACATTTCTTATGATCTTTATGAATCTGTACTCACAATGGTGGCTGAATCTTCATGATCATGTTAACTCTTACAAGGGTGTTTATTTATTGACTTATTTAAAAAAAAACAACTGAAGCCTGCTGCTGCACTACCTGTGCAAATAAAAGTAGAAAAATACGAGGAGCCTTAATTCAGACTGATGTCAGCGAGTACAAGTATCAGGATCAGGTTCTTATTTAGCCCATTTTCATTTTCTGATTGTTCTTCCAATTTTGTTTGTTTTATTGTGAGTTTAGAATTGTTATTGTTAGTTTAGAATTTGAGCTAACTTTGACTGGTCAATATTCTTTGCATGGGAAAGTAATAAAATTTTATTAGATTAACTGTGGTCTCTTATCCCACTTTGTTACCAATGCTCCTTTTTTGATCACAAGAGTAGTGACCCACAGCCTGTGTGTTCAGCAGAAAGCTATTTCTCTGTAAAATTCCACAGGATGGATCGAAACCTGAAGTTCCCCCCTCCTCCATTCCACTAATTTGCTTATAGCTCCTTAATTAAAAAAAAAAAAAAAAGTCAATTCAAACAAGACAAAATTACTCAGGATTTAACACACTGATACACATTTTGACACGTAAGTTTACCCTGGGACAAATGCACTTATGTTATCCTGTTTAGTACCGCTTGTCCACCACTGTTTGCTTACAATTCCAAAATAAGTTTGGAAATAAGATTGTCCTTAATGCCACGTGATGCTTCCTAGTCATGAATTGTATTAAAAAGAAAAGGAAGGTAAAAGCACATATATACACACACATATCTATATATCTATATATCTGTATCTATCTATCTATCTATATATATGTAAAAAGATGTACAGGTAAATATATTTTTTAACCTTACATCTTTATATAAATGCAGGTTTATGCAAATACATATACATAAGTTCCTTGTTTGTAGCCCTTCTTTACAATAATGATTTTAGCCAAAGTTCCAAAATATGGATTTCATTTAGGATTAACCAAACAATTAGTAAGGCAATAGGAATTTACTGTTATAAAGATTTAAAAATTGTGCCTTTAACAATAAACTTAAAATAATGTTTGTAAATAGCAAATGGAATCCAAGATTTTCTAACTGTTTCAGTAAAATGTAATTAGATGCAGGATTGGGAATTTTAATTCCAAACATTCACCTTTAATGTTGGAAAATGGTCCTGAGTGAGTTCCTAGACTGTTTCAGTAAATGTCCATGCTAACGAGGTTGTAAAACATGGGATCCAATCTTGTTAACATTCCCTTCTAGAATAATGACATTGGAAGAACTCAACTTCAGAAGGAAAAAGGGGATTATATAAAATGATTATTTTTCTTCCTCTGTTTCATGTATTTCTACACTGTTGTGAATGACTATGTCCTTAGAGTAAGAAATTATATAATGAGTGAGGTAAAAATACTGGAATAACTCAATGCCTTCTATACTACAAATTGAGTTTCTAAGGCAACTCAATCAAGAAAAGCATGAAAAATATCAAGAAATAAGGGCTTTAAGTGATAATGGCAGGGAGGAATTTCGGACAAATTTGGAGTCAAGTGAGGTTCATGACTAATAGCTGTTCAGGACTTGCTCCAGACCCTTTTGGCTTTAGGTCTGTGAAGCTTAAAGAAAGAGGCAATTTTTAAAGAGGAAATGTTTCAAGGGAAACATTTCTCTGTGCGGATATGCAGGCTAAGCCAGCCAACTGCACAGCTACAACTGGGGGTTTTGAATGTGAAGTGCCTGTGGAGACCAGCCACCAGCTGTGCATACCTACCTCCTCCGGCAACGTCACACAGCACCGAGGAGTGATTTTTTCCAGACAGGAACACTTTTGACTCTTATGCAACTTAGGATCAGCAGTGGGCAGTGGGGCACACTCAACACACTAATAAACTCCTGATGTCAGATCCACCCTAAATCTCCCACTCCAGGGAGTGAAGAACTTCATGAGCAAAGAGCAGATCAGGGACAGGCAGCAGGCAGCAGCATGTTGGACCTGCCCCTTGTCTCCAAAACCATCATCACCGCTCCCCCTCCAGCCTTCCTAGTCCCTCAGACCCACAGAGCGGAGGGCAGAGGTGGAGGTGCCAAGATGCAGAGGATGAGGGAAGAGGAGGAGGAAGAAGGTGGAGCGAGCCAGCCTTGGCAAGCCAAAGTTGCTAAATGCTGTGTTCAGGTGGTCAGACTTTATTTCACAGATTTGCTCTCCTGGCCCTTTGTCCTCTATCTTATATTGGGACAGTTAATTACTCACATGCATGCATACCGTTTTCAACCTTATACTGCTAAAGATCATCCTTGTATTTTTTTAGACTAATTTTCCAGAGTCACTCAGAGTTGTAATCCCAGTGTCCTGAGCGACCGAGCCCTTACATGGGTTGCTTACTTTCCATACCTTGTTTCACAAAGGCAAATGTGATATAAGTGATACAAGTCTAATTTATGTCTTTTTTAGAAAAATAATCCCTTTTTCTTTCTCTAAATGGTACTGAAATGTGAAGTTAATACAAGTACACAAAGATAATGAAGAGAGTTTCTGCTAAGGTCTGTGTTGCCTCATTTGTGCCTCATGCAGAGTGCTAAACTAAGTAAAAACTTGATCTGCATCAAATGTAGTGAACTTAACTGACTTCCTTGAAGATTTATAAATGAGAGGCCAGTGAGCCAGGCTGTGAGGTTGCTTGGAGAAATTCACCCAGTCATTCTGGCACCATGCACAGGAGATGCAGCTGATCAATAAATTCCAAATCGCTTGATTTCATTTTCTCTGGAAAATTATCAATCAGAGTCTAGTATACAAATAAACAACTGCCATGCAGATCCAAACTCCAAACATAAGAAAAACAAGGGAGTAAAAGATTTGCATGTATCTCGAGTACCATTTTCCAAGAAATCCCTCAGAAGTAACTCTGTCTCAGAGTAGGTTATATAAGAAAGAAAAAAAAGCAACGTAAAGGTCCTTCATTTCATCTCATACAAAATACCATATGTTTTTGCATGTTTCATTAATGCTTCCTGGTTTACTGTCTAGAAACACACAGTGAGTTCAACCTTCAGGGGTCAGCAGTGCTCAGTACATCTATGAACTGAGCTCTAAGTGACTGTGGGGACTATCGAATAAGGGCTGACTCTGCTGAATATTAATCCTGCAGTTTTAGGTTGGACCATATGGATTCTGAAGACCAGCTAAGTACATATCATTCCCCATCTTGCAAGTACCACTAATCACCTGTACAGTGCTCTTCTCAGAAATAAAATAGTATTTCATTCAGAGAGTGCACATGGAGATTATTCTTGTAAATAGATTTGCTAGATTGCAAAATTCTCTGTTTACTCATAGTTTTGAAATTAGATAAATACAGTAGCCTTTTCTGAGCTTTCTAGTGCAGAAAGTCCTGTGTCTTATGAGTGATAATATTCACTTTCTTGAAAGCCTGTCTGACTATCAGACTATCTGCACACAGTTTGGAATTAAACTCACTAAATGCAGCAGTTTCTGTGGCTGCACTGAAATGCAAGCAGTATAAAGAGAGGCTGCTGCTTCACTGTTTCATTTTTATGCCCAGTGGTCTTTCATAGCTTATTCTGTCTCAATTTGAGTATTAGTAGATTACCTTTAAATTAGAGTAAATTAGAGCTCAGGATTTTACTTACAGTGTCATACCTTACTCCACTGGAAGCCTAACAATTTAAATGTAAGGGAGCACAATCTTCATAGTTTTACTCTGTCTCGAGAATGTGCTGTTTATGGACTCTTTTTAGCATACTTAGGCACACATGCATGCAAAGCCAAGAGGTTGAAGTGAAATGACTCAAACAATGGATCTTTCCTGTTACAGCATTATTGCTATTCCAGGCTTTCTTATTCTTGTTAAATGACAGTGGATTGAATAAAAAGGGATAAGAAATGGGATGGATATGAAAATACAATGATGACAGTATAATAAATTAATGCTTACCATTTCCTGAGTGTTTGCAAAATCTGTCTCTTTCGAGCTACACTGCACCAAAAGCATTACAATATTAATCAGGACAATACAAAGGAATATATATTTGTATCAAAATCTACTTAGAGCAATGATCATTCCTGCTCCCTAAAAACAAAACCAAAATAAAAAAAAAAGGAGGATGTTTTTGTCTCATTGCAACAGTACACAATACACTGCTAATGCTTCTGCATATACAAAGAGGTGTGTTTATATCTGGTTAAAAATACAGCCTGAGCCTTAGCACATTGTCTTGCATGTACAATTTTATTGCATGCAGAATAAACTACTCTATCTAACTGAGAATCGTAGCCTTAACCCCTCAGTGTACTTTTATTTGACCTCAAATGAGCATAATAAAGGAGTTCATAGAGCAGCCATTTCTTTGCTATTTCTGCAGCATCTCTCAAGGCACTGGCAATGCAGTCTCAGTGTAGAATATGTTAGTGCTTCTGAAACATGCTATTAGAGTAAATTTGAACTGAACTTGACTTTGTTTTATATTTAATGACAGGATGTCAAAAATACTTTCATCTGTATTAATACAGTTGCTGTAACGAAAATACTTTAAGTCATTTATTGTTTTGATCCCATGCAGTTAGTCACACCATCCAGTCTAAGTACTGATTCTCATGTACACCGCAATCCGTCTCTCACCCCTGTCACACCTAGGTGACTTACCACAAGGGAGTAACATATCTTGAATCCAGGTTTAGCCACAAAATAGTCATCAGATTTGAAGGTTATCTTTATGTGATTTGTTCTTGATGTTATTCTTGGAGGTATTTCCTTGTGCCCACACCACCGTCCTCGTATAACTGTGCTGGTCTCTGATACATCTTCCACTTCCACAAAGTCATACCTGAAAACCAGTAGGAAGAATTAGGTTTTGCTAACTCTGGTTACAGAGGGTGGTTGCAAATTAATGGGAAGGAGCACAGCTGGAGACACAAAGACAACTGTCCCCTTTTCTCCACTCCAAAACATCAGACTAAATAATTCAAATGGTGGGCATGCTTGTGCAGCACAAAATACACTAAGCTGAAAGCTACTGCCTGAGTATTCAAATGAGTGATTTCTGGGCTCCTGGAACATGACAGACAGTATTTTCTAACACATTAAAATAGCAATGAGAGGCACTTGCATGTGCTTAGTATACAGTAAGCATACGCGTTGTGTTTCATGTGGTGGGTAAATAATTTAGAAACCTGATAAAATATTATTTAAGGCAGGCTGCCCAAGCTGAGCAGCTGCAAGCACTTGTATACTTTCTGGTGGTCACCCAAATCCCTACAGCAGCAGACAAGGATCCCGCCTGCTGTCTCAGTCACAGGGCTGGAGTTGTGTGGTCACTGTGCCAGGAGCAAAGGGAGATGCTGGAAGGACACAGGGTAGTGTATGCTGCTGAAAGGTGCTTTTTAGCACCTTCCTTGTAGGTAGCACAGCGTTCCTGTAGGTGGTTTGGAAAGTCTTATATCAAACTTTCAAGCAGAAAAGTTTGCTGGCTCTCTGTGTGCTGTGGTGGGGACTCTGTTCACATGGATGCTATCACCAAGGAAAATGCAACAGCATGTCTTGTCCTGTGCAAGGTCACAACTTAGCCAGGCACCTGGGGCGCAGCAGTGGCACCCTGAGCCCAAAGATGGATCTGACAGGAGCAGCAGGCATTAACCCCTAGCAATAAGGGGATACAGTAGCAGCACTTGCTGCCCCAGCATTTGTATTCACTCGCTTGGGTCATTTATTGAATTCATTTATTGATCTGGAGAATAAAGAAGGTAGAGAATAAAGTTCTGATTTTACTACATCTATGACAAAAAAAGTTTCTCAGTATCAGTGAAGCCAGAATTAGGCTCCACACATTGCAGCCGGTGAGAGAGGTCATGACAAGAGGGGCAGGTTGAGTGCCATCCTCATGGTGCAACTGAGCCTCAAAACTCTGGGGATCTTTACCAGAAAGCTTTCTATTATCAGACCGCCTCCCTCAAAGAGGGAGTTTAAGATTGTTAACTGATTCTTGCTTGCAATGCGCTCCTCCCTGCCCTGGGCCTGTGGGCCAAGCACCCTCCTCCCTGCCCAGTTGTGGGAGCTGTAAATAACAGACCTGCTTTTCTTTTCTGCTGAGAGCCCATGAGAAAAAACCCATAAGTACTATGCGGTTTGAGAATATCAGCACTGCTTCTTTTATTTTCACCAATCCCAAATTGCACAGAACAGAAAATAACAGATTCACCATGACCAAATCACTTCCATCTGCCCAAACTCTGCTGAAATATTCTTTTTTTATAACACGCCAAAATTTAGTTCCAGGCAGAGGTAGACTTGTCTCAATCTCTCCCCACCCCCCCATCCTCAGCTCCCACTCCCTCATGGTGATGGATGGTGTACCAGCAGAGGTCTGTGCTGCCCACAAGAGCATCCACCATTGCCCCCCAGGCAGCAAGGCAGCCGTGAATGCCTATTGTAACATAGGGGGTTGCAGTGTTCAGCATGAGATAACCTTGTAAGCTTTGGTGAAAGCTGTCCTGACTGGCCCCCCCACTCTTTGAGGTCAGAAGCCAGAATAACTGGTAGCAAAAACAGTGAAAATCCATAGACTTTTAAGGATTACTTCTGTTTTCAACAACAGAGGCTTTGTTGCAACAATCATGGAAGTAGGTATATTCTCGGTTGTTTCTGTGCATCCAAGGAGCCTCAGAGGCTGGGTAATTTAATTGCTTTTCAGAATCATCTCTTATCAAGTGCCTGTGGAAATGCTAACAGCACTTCTAGAAAATTCTGTAAAACCTTGAATATTTACCCTCCTTCTTCAGAAGCTCAGAAGAAATATAGCTCTGCTAAAATATACCTTTTCATTCTGCAGCCTGAATGAATTTCAATCAGTTCAGTCTTAATAGTATGCAAATTAAAATAATTAGCATTAATGAAAAATCAAAAGAAAACACTAGGATGTTTCTGGAGAAAAAAGCATAAGGTCAAAAGCAAATACAAAAGCAAGGTAATATGCAGAGGTCCTGAATTACTTGTCCAGTATGCACAGCCTTCAAGCCTATGCTCAGCTCTAAGCATTCATTTCAATTAAAACACGCCTGGTTGTCTCTCTAAAGCAGCACTGCAGGGATTGTCAGGGACTGAAGTTGCAGAAAGGATCTAGTGTTGAAAAATATATTGAGCATTAGCAAAAAATCTAACTGCACACAGTACTTAATAGGTTTAAAGACATCACAAGCTGTCTGTTCAAGAAATTCCTCACTCTGGAAGTAATACTACCGAAATAAAGGTCTTCCAGAAACTAGGGAAAGCTTTATTGCAGAAAAGGATGTGATATTTCTCCAGCTTCTATAGACAGTTTTGATGATTTAAAGTCTTGGCTTCTCTCTGCATCCTAAATCAGTTGCTCTGGAAAAAGCAGGTAGACTGTCTTCCAAGATGGTCTCCAAATCCATAATGCCAGTAACAGCTTGACTTTCCCTCTCTGTGCCGCCACCTTTACTGGCTTTTGACAGAGAATACTTCATTTTTTTTTCCACAGTAAATTAGCCCTCTGTTTCAAAGTTGCAATGCTTTAAGGTCAGCCACAGTTTATCCACTATGTAAATATTAACAGGCTGCTTCTGTGTGCATTAGGCTCTGAATCCGGGAAAGCATTTGGGGTACTGGGAGGTAACTATTGTTACTGACTCTGCTGCTGATCTTGGACCAATAGCACCAGAGCATAGCAGACCTGCCAAGGAGCGGGGAAGGAGAGCCAGTTTTAGGCTGCATTCTTTTATTACTAAATCAAAAACAAAACCGCAGGAATGGTTCTCTTTATTGGTGATGCAGAAAATCTAACAAAGAAAAAAGAGGGAAAAAAATACACCCTGTAAAACCCCTGTAGAGCTGTCAAACCCTATGAACACAAATTAATTGACAAAGAAGATAAGATAAGAAGAGGCTGGATGTGCAGAAACCCTAACAACCCAGTTCTCTGCACAGATAAGCTGTAAGTAACAACATGATCAGGTAGAGTTGGAAACTGAGACTTCAGTATTTTATGTAAGTAGCATCACAGCAATCTGCCTTTTGGAGCACACAGGAATCTTAAGTCTGCTCTCTCCCACAGAACAGATAGACAAATAAAAGAAATATAAACAAAAACTCAGTAGATTTATCCAGTTTTAGTGAATTTTAGCAAGAGCACCTCTGTACTCTGCTAATGCCAAGCAGTTTATCCACCTAGGTTAATCAGCCAGATCAACTGAGCTTAAGGTCACTTTTGCTTGAAAGGGGAACCAAAGCAACTGGGATATAGTAGAGTATACATAAACAGATAAATAAATATATAAGTATGCATCAGTACACTGATGTTTGTGGACTATATTTAAAGGTTTTAAAAGAAACTGTACCAGTGAAGAGTAACAATAAAGACAAGCAAGTAATTTGAAAAACATACTTATATTTTTTAATGCATTTTATTTGTTCCTCACACCCCAATATAAAGACTTACCTATTTACTCACACCTCCTAGAGCCTTCCACCTACTGAAAAAGATGTTTTTTGCCTGGCTGAAACATGACAGAGGTGATAGAGGACAAAATCCTATTAAAGTAGTATCTATGTTGTTAGGTTGTTGGATTTGAGCATACGGGTACCTTGCGCTTAAAATATTATAGAAGGATTAAAACCTGCCAAAACTGCTTCAGGTCCAGGAAAGCTCAGTTTATTTATAAACTTAAAAACCAATTTCAGTCAAAAGGGGATACTTGGAGGTCTGTCCTTCATGTAAGGACAACCTAGACCTGGCCAGAGATGCTCAGGTTTTGGTCTGCGGTCTCATGCCAGTGAGCTTGAAGGTGGTATTAAGGAGACCTTTGCAAACTTCCACTTGCCACTCACCTGCAGATATCATTTTCAGGTTCCTCCAGTCCAAACTGATTATCAAAAGCCAGATGGATCCTGGTGCTCTCTGGGGAGTGGAGCCGCCACGTCAGTAGGAGGTTCCTGGGGTAGCTACTGGGGAAGCGAGGACTGTGGATGCAGCCATTCCCTGCCACGCTGATGGTCTCTTCTTTTCGGTACAAGTCTGTGAGGTGATTGCTCTCTGTTAGTAGTCACAACTTGTAGAAATTAGTATGTTGTTCCAGTTACAGGAAGGCAAAAAACACAACAGGTTATATAACACAGCAAAAATTATTTGCATTTAAAGTCATTAAAAAGTTGGGTCTAGAAGCAGTTTTATCAGATAGGAAGTACAGTGTATTTTCTCTTAATTCAATCCCATATAAACAGTAAGAACAACAGAACTCGAGTATACGGACTCTTTATTTTACAAGAAATATATCATTATTTTTCCATTTATATTGATTATATAATTTCATTCTCACCATTTTGATTTTAAAACAGAATTAAACTTTAATAAAAGCTGCAAGCTTGAGAACAATGAAGTAAGACAGACTGAAGTAAAAAAGACAAACAATCCTGCTTCCCAAATTTGGTGCTTTGGGGAGAAATGCCCTCTGAACAAAAGCACCAATAAGGAGCCGTAAGAAAGTACATATGAGTGAATTTAAGTTTGTTTACTGTGCTTAAGTATTTCCTCCCAAAAACATTTGTTAGGCCACGTTTTTTTTTTATTTATATGGTGTGAATCATTTGCTGCTAATGGATGATTAACACAGCCAGCTATTCCATGCTTATACTGATGTAACTGAGGTCAGATTCTGTCCCAACAACCACCTTACTGAGTAACTTCAAGACAAATAGCCAAGTCTTTATTTAATTAAAATTCCACAGCTTCTGCCTGAGCAAATATTCAATTGTTCCTAAAGTTTTACTTCTACTGAGGTAAAGCCTCTGCTGCTGTAAATCCCTGGCTCCAAGGATAACAGGAACTGTGGCAAGACCCAGCTCTCTAAAAGTCAAAATACCTTCTCAGTTGCACCATGCACTTGCATTGTCCAACTGTTTCTGATACTGGAATTTGGCTCCCAGCATCAAAGAACTGCAAACAACCATTTTTTGTGTCTCGACAACTTCAGTGTGGGAAATTTTGAGGATCAGAAGGCTCCAAGACAACATGCGGATCACAGCAGGTTTCAGTTCCCAGTCATGGAATCACAGAATCACAGAATATACTGTGGAAGAGTCCCACAAGGATCATCGAGTACAACTCTTAGCCCTGCACAGGACCATTCCGAAGAGTCACACCATGTGCCCAAGGGTATTGTCCAAATGCTGTGACCACTCCCCTGGGGAGCCAAGACACTCAGTTCTGAGCCTCCACCAGTGGGACAGCTATCTGTGTTCCTTCCCTAGGTGACGTGTGGAAATCTAGGGCTCAGTTCAGTCACTCACAGAGAGATGCCTAACCACCTTTAAGACATAGTACATTTTCCTGTCTGGCCTCCATGAGTACAACGAGGTCCAGCAGCACATCCAGCAGCACATCCAGCAGCCCCCAGCAAAGCTCCAGTGGAAGCCGTAGTGTCTCACAAAGTCACCTGCATGTGGGCAATGTGACCCCCTTCTCAACACAGACTGTAGGAGTTGCACACAGTCAGTCACCCAACTGCATTGACCAAACTTCTACTTACTACATGAACTTGGACACTGCTTTCATGTAAACACTTAAACTCTGGTGTCTTTATCTTGAACTGAACATCACTCCAGTCCTCTGCTGAATGTCAGATCAACCTCTAGTTACACCACAAGCAACAGAAATAGAAAATTGGTGCCTTCTCCTGAACTTGGCTGATGAGGAAGAGCAAATGGGGGAAAAGTATCTCCCACCAAGTTGCTCTGTGAATGTTGGAAATACAAAACCAAAGTAAGCAATCAGTGGCAGCCATCTGTCACACACAGTAATCTAAGTTTTCACTCTTAAAATAAAATCTAACATTTGACTGAAGTTTTCCAAGTTCTTCATATAAAATAAATATATCTTTTTCATAGAACACTCATTAAAAACAGGAACCCAGAGAAATGGTACAAACTTCATGGTAAGTACATCTAGTTTTTCATGTTGCTTTTCACTGGTTCCTTGCTGTAAATACTTCCCTACACACAGCTGTAAGCAAAGCATGGTTGCATGTCAGCAGTTCATTGTACTCTTCTGAAGAGCAATAATTCTAGCCTCCAAACAACCTGAAACTTAGCTGATAAAACTCTTAGTTTCCTGTAAAACTATCTCCAAAGATAATTGTAACATCATTCTAAGATGCTTTCACACTGAGCCACCCTTTCTAAGCAAATACAGACCTACCTCACAAAGTGCAGACCTAGCCAGTTTTGTTTTGTTCTATTTTGACCAAGTAATTTGCATTGGAAAAGTAACAATTTAGTGAAAATAAAGACCACCCACCTATTAATTTTGTTGCAATTTTCATCAGGGACATCTATGCTGGAATCTGTTTTTCATTTTATTTTATTCTAAAAAAAAAGAGGAAAAAGACAACTGTGGGGTTTTTTTCCCCCTAATTTGGAATGAAACAAAATGTCCAGCCAACACTACTGAGTTCCTAGTAAGATGCTGAGGACCTTTGGACTTTAAAAACACCCAGTCCACCGAGAGGAAAAGATATTTCACAGGACTATGTGCAAAATGTCCAAGAAAAGGGATAAAAATAAAACAGTTTTGATGGTAACAAATTCCACAGTTTTTAGTGAAGCAACCATTCCCTAAGTCAGAACAAAAGTAACTGCAGTAAAACATGGCATAACTCATCCTATGCCTCAGAGTTCTTTACTCTTCTTTCTTGGACAGCAAACTCTTGCCATTTTCCCTCTATCACCATGCATTTCACTGCATAGGTCAATGTGATTCATGCTTCTGAGGGAAAGGTTTCCTTTTCCCAGACAGTCCTCGCACAGGCTTTACCCTGCTGAGATTCTGGGGGACAGTATCTCTAAAATGTGCTCATACATATACCCCCAAACAAAACATCTGTGCACTTAAGTCAGTATACCAGCTGAGAATGCACACTACTGCGCTCTTGTACACCAAGAAGATAGGGTCTGTGATGGCTCTTAATTTAACTTAAACTCCGAATTTCACAGACTGTGGTGCTCTGCCAGGAAGTCAATCACACCTGACCAAGACTAATGATGAAATGTCATGGCTGGAGCAGCTCTGCAGTATCTGAGTTGAACAGGTACAGGAATAGAGTTGCATGTTACAAAGCTTAAAAATCAAAGCACAATAACTTATTATTTCCGTCGTGGTAATACAGGAATTATAAAGTTATCATAGAGGAAAGGTTGGAGAGAATCATGAGAAGGAAATTCTCACGATAGTAAAGTAAGAGATATCCAAATATTGCACTCTGAGGATATGCCTTTTCCACAAGGGAAGAACGTATGTTTCATGAGAAAGGTCATAAATACTGCTTCTATAGCCCCACATGAGATGAAATCTAAAGCTACTCAGTGCTTTCACTTGACACTGGAGCAAACTCTTCAGGAGCTGGATTCCCTCTCACCTCCCTCACTTTGTGCTAGATTACGACCTGAAGTGGTGTGGCCAGCACTGGAACCAAATATGCTAAAATTTTCTAAGGGGATTTTCACTGGGATTTCACAGTTATCCGGCTTAGAAGACACAGGAACACAGTCAACATAAACTCGCTCTCACGAGGTTGGCCTCTCATGAATCATCAAGCATCTGGGAAACAGCTTGAGGAGATGTGAGCAACTCCTGTACTTCTTGTATCAACAAAGATATGGGACTAAAATAAGACTTTTCCAAGCAGACAAGCATTGCCCTCATCAGATACACTGGGGGGAGTCATGGAAATCACACACTAGGCAAGGGGAAAGTCAGGATAAAAAAAACTTGAGAAAAGGTATAAGCAAAGGAAAAGACAGTGTGTCTTTCAAGGCAGTGAACTGTCCCATGTTGCAATGCAATGTAATGAAGTATTACACAGTATCCTGAATGTCACATACTAACTGTATTCCATAATGCTTTATGGGAGTAAATAAAAGACGACAGTACATAATACACTGCCTGTCACATTTACTAAAAAAACATTTAAAATCATTTCACAATGAATAAAAGCAGGTGTTAAGTTACAAGGCAAAAAGGCCATTTTTGCCATACATAGAAGGAGGATATTCTCGATGGCCCGAGCCACAAGGACATCCTTTCCTCCTAAGGGAGGAAAACTATCTCATAAGGAAGATGAGTGGGAAGGAATCTGGAAGACATCCTTTTAGGTGAGGCAATTCCCTGAAGAGTCTGAACTGACTGGAAAGAAGCTTGCTCTATATTTTATTTATCTGAACTAATCTCTCTTTTTTTGCCTCGTAATTCTTTCCCAACCACTAATTTTAAACATAATGACATACATGATAGTCCAGCTGTCAAAATCAGAGGAGCTGTCATTTAAGCACTTAAGGCAGCTGCATTTTCCAAAGTGCTTGCCTTCCTCCCCCTGCATGGAGGGCAGCTGGGTGTCAGACTGGGAACTGGGAAGCACACTTCAATATTCAGAAAACTGTGCTTGTCTCAAGACTGTCTCCACCATCAGTGCCCAGCACATCCAATATTTCCCCATCCCAGCTAGGCCATGCGGCATGAGCAAGATTTAGAAGCACAAATTTCATCCTGTGTTTTCTCTGGATGCCTGCATTTGCTTGCAAGCTTTAGCAATGTATTGACACATTCCTCTTGAAGCTACTCCTAGTCATGACATGCCTACTACAGAAAGAAGTTTGCTTGTATCATTATCATTGAACAGATAGTGGATTCCTTCACTAAAACAATAATAATATTATTTTTAAAAAAGGCAATTTCTACTTGTTAATAGTTAATCTGACATCTGCTCTACAATATATTCAGCAAGGAGAGTCTATAAGCATCAATTCCTTTAGAAAGAAGAAGAATTCAGAGAATGGTCTTGTCTAAGGACCTAACCAACGATATGGAATACTTAATTCCATTTTTCTAAGGTTTCTGGAATTTCAGCCTCACTTCTTGCGTATAAGTTTGCTGCTGTCTTTCTTCCCCTTGCAGAAGTGGTTGGGCAACCAACTTTGATACAGTGGTAAAGGCTGAAAAGATACCGTACTCTGACTTGGTTTATGACAATTAATTCCATACAG